CTAATCTACTTTTTTTGTATAAAGGATTCATTGTATATATATATATATATATATATATATATATATATATATATATATATATATATATATATGATAATATTTAGTAATCCGTGTGAATATTTCCAAAAGGATATAAGTCTAGGGAGAGCTCTATGTCAAAAACAGAATAATAATAATAATAATAATAATAATAATAATAATAATAATTGATTATCGTAAAGCCTTTGATAGTGTTCCACATTCTTGGATCCTTAAGACTTTGGAAATATACAAATTCTCCCCTGTGGTATTAAATTTCCTTATGCACAGCATGGGAATGTGGAACACCAAACTATACCTTAGTCACAGTCTTAAAATACCATGGTGATATTTATTTCCTTAAGATCGATCTTAACGAAATACATATCACTATGGTATTTGAAGGGTTCGTTTTCTTTATTATTATTATTATTATTATATATATATATATATATATATATATATATATTAAAAAAAGTTCACCCAAAAAGGTACCGATAGTTATGAAAAATAAATCTTGCTTCCCTAAATTTGTTTTCATTTTTTCTAGCTTTTTTGCTAGCTAAAGTATCATTCAGCGATTCCAGGTTATATTGTTATCTGTTTTATTAATTCCCCTTAGTAATCAACTAACAGGAAATTCCGAGACATCATCATATTTAAACACATTTCAGTTTCATGCCTTCACGCTAGCGGTGTTTCATTCCCTTTAGACGCGTTCATTACCATTACAGCTGTTTTTCATTACATGACAAGCAACGTTTGTACAAAGACTTATTAATTTTTTGTAGATTTTTTAATATTTTTATACCTTTGGATATTTTTTTACATATACATATTTTTTATACCTTTGGATATTTTTTTTTACATATACATAACTTGATGTAGACTGACATATGGTCGAAATATTATTATTATTATTATTATTATTTGTAATAAAATCCAAGACAGGTGAAACGCACCCTTCACGCTGGTGGCGTTTCATTCGTTTTGATGCGTTGATTACCATTACATCCGTTGTTTTCATTACAAGACAAGTAACGTCCTTCTAAATCACAACGGGGCGGTTTCTTGTGAAGTTCTTCCCTGGTTAAAATAGACTCTTCTTGTGGACCTAGTTAATGTGTGTTAAGTGTCGTTCCCGGCCTGTGCCCGGCTTCTCCCTTATGATGCAAATCGAAATTCCCAACCTCTCCAGTTCGTTTTGGCCTGCCCTTTTCATCTCGACTGGGTGAGCTTTTATTATTATTATTATTATTATTATTATTATTATTATTATTATTATTTTCTAATGGCTATAATTGTTTTTTAGCCGTCCCCAAATCTTAGAGAGAGAGAGCCTATTGATTTTGTCGGAAGACAGAATACCATGGCAACTCTTATTTTTAAGGGTTTGACGAGTCTTACTAACATCTTTCCTTTTGCAGTTTGTTTTCGGGATCATCAACCCACCACCGCTACCACCGTCATCATTTCATAACACTGATAGAATTTTTATGTATATTTTTGTATACATAATTGTACATATTTTTTTTATTTTTTTAGTAGGTGCCCTGTGTGTGTGAGGTATTTTGGTGTATGTAGGACGGAATGGTGACGGAGAGATTCTTATGGTGAATGAGTAAATTGTAACGAATGAATAGGTTGTGAATCTGATTACCTAGGTAAAAAATAGTGTCGACCAATCTTGATCCACCTCCTTCTTTTTAGGCCTTGTGCCACAATTACTCTATTAGTAATAATCAGTAATAAACCGTAGACAAGCAACGTTTGTACAAAGACTTATAATTTTTAATAATTTTTTGTAGATTTATATATTTGTATACTTGAAAACATTTTTTAAATATAATTTGGAGAAGACAGACATTCTGTTGAAATTTTGTTTAACATTGTCAAACACTGTTTTTTTAATTTTATTTTTTCTTAAATCGCGCTCTTCTCTTAGAACTCTTCAGAGTTCTAAGGTCAGAAATGGCTTTATGACATTTTCCATTGAATATTTGTGTAAAAAAATAAAAATAAACATCATCATTTATCCCCTTGACTTTTGTAATCGTAAGGCGGATCCGAAGGTAAAAGCCACACTAACTCTTTTCTCTAACGGTTTCTCAATGGCAGCCATCAAAAGTTCTGGTACAATCATACCTGTCTCTTATTTGACATTATCCAACCGGGTTTTGCGTTGACGTCCTCTCCTACGTCTACCTTCAACGGTGCCTTGTATGATGATCTTGCACAGGCTGTCGTGCCTCGTAATGTGTCCAAACCACACCATTTTTCTCCGTTTGAGAGTGGCTAGAATAGGTTCCTGGTGGCCCACAAAACTTTCAACCCTTTTCCGCACAAACTCATTGTTTTTTGGTTTTTTTTTGTTCCCAATAGAAAATACCAAGGAGTTTTCTCATGCATTTGTACTCAAACGCTTGGATCCTTCTCTCTGTATCTGCCAAATGTGTCTACGTTTCAAATCCATGGAATAGAATGGAGACTAACATAAATATATAAATAATATAAATAAATGGAAAAATAAACAGATAACAACTTAAAAACATACACATTTTACATCGATAAAACCCTTCGTAATGTGTGAACTATGCTTGTGAGAATCATTTTTTGTATTTTTTAAGGCATGGTCTGCCAGGAGTCCATTCAGTGTGACTATCCAATTATTATTATTATTATTATCATTTTTATTTTCTTTGATTTCTGGCATTTACACATTTACACCTAAGGTCAGAAATGGCATCATGACACTTTCCACTGACAAAAAAAAAAAAAAAAAATTACATAGATAAAGCCCTTCGTAAAGTGTAGGCTGTACTTGTCAGAACATTTTTTTGTATCTCTTTGAGGCATGGACTTCCAGGAATTATTATTATTATTATTATTATTATTATTATTATTATTATTATTATTCTTACTCATTGTTAAGAAGTTATTAACTTTTGATAAGGTTGATAAATAAGCGTTGAAAATAATATGTTAATAAAATAGAGAAAGAGAGGCTCAGTAAACAGGAAGGCGTTAGAGTAGCGGTGGAAGGAGTTGAATATAATAAAAGACAGTTTTGCATTCATCATTACTGTCG